CCCCACTATATAGCCCACGGTCTACACACAGCACAGCACCACAAAACGCACTCAAACAACGAGCAACGCGACAGTGCGAGAGATAGTCGATTGTCAATGTCGTATTTAGGAAAGAAAAAGGGCAGAACACGTACATTGCGCGAAATGAGCATGCGATCACACACAGACAGAACACAAAGCAACAATTAGGCGTAGCCGAAGGACATTCGCAATGGCCGTGCTAATGAGTCCACAATGCCTACCTCGCTTTGGTTGAATGAGCCACTCCGTGGACTGTCACCAAAGCGGTGCATGTCTGCGCCTTCCATCGACGGGGAATGGCGTTGATTCTGAAAAGGTAACATTGTGTGATAAAAAGCAACCGAGAATTGATGGAGACGGGGAAATTTTCACCGCAGAAAGTATCAAACATTTGGATAACAATTTTAACTACCAAGAAAGATTTTCTTACATATATGCTCATATTACAGTTTCCCAGCCATCAATTTGACAAGGAGCAAAACCAATTTTTCGTCTACTTTATTTTCCGCAGCAGACGTCAAAATCGAAGATAAACTCTTCCTTTTCCTTCTTCTTCAGGAGAGCCAAAGGAAGGACGCAATAGTATGGAGATGAATTTCAAAGTAATCTTTCCTCATACCTGTGCAAGTGCAATGGGTCGTTTTGTGATGTATTTACGCACAATAATAGGTTTCGAGTTTGAAGGAAATATTGTCGCCTTCGTAGGCCTCCTATGAGGAATTTTCCTATCATCGGGAGGTGAATATCGAGCGGCTGGGGCAGAAATATAGCGCCGACGAAGAGGCAAAGCACGACGACTAGGTGTTACCACCACAGCTGAGTCCACAGTCATCAACTGGGCTAAGTATGAAAGAACAGGGCGTTGACAGAGGATTGGTTGCCTCTCAAAACACTCGTTGAATTGGATAATATTCGGTATGCAGACCGCCGGAACAGCGACAACAACAGGGTTCGCCACTTTCAGGAGAGAGGGCGTGGCCCACATCCTCCCCTCCTTTCCCACTCGCTCCCATTTGGAACAAGATCGAAGGACTGCACAAAGCAACACAAACACACATGAAAGTGAATCTTCAAGCAGACAAGATCGTATCCATTGATAGAAAAAGGTAAGGAGGATACAAAGTGAAAGTGAGGAAGTGAAAACATATGGAGAAGAAAGATTGGGACAAAAACAGCTGTAAAAAATTGATGTAGCTGGGTAGAAAGGACGTCATTAATTTAGAAAAGCCGTTGTGTGAGTACTTAGCCCTCAAATGATGTATTAAATACGGAAATTTAATGAAAGGGGCTACGGAATTACAAGTCTATGATCACCTATCGCATATATTTTTCAGCACCACAGCGCAGTTATTTCTCTCTTTTCCTGGTCTAGCAAGATAAACAAGAAAGAAGTTGACGATGGAAAGGCACAACAGCCGAGCGCTGTATCGATCGACTAGCGCCCGCTCAATTCGCTTCACGGATCCCATTCCCAAACAAGAAAAACCGGTATTGATGGAAAAAAAAGCATTTATCAAAGAAAAATAATGGGAAGAACTTTGACATCTCGTTGCTGTTTGTGACAGACCATACTCGGTTAATAAAAGAAAAAAGCAAGATGTGTTGTATCTTCGTCTCACTTCCTTTTTCATTTAAAAAAGCATGGTCATTGATCTATGTATTTCTGGAACGTCTGGCTACCAAAAAGAAAATATGTCCAGTGGTTCAGTCCATGCAAGAAAAGATTGTAACATAAAAACTGGAGGATTCCCCTAACAAGCAGCAACCATATTTACTAACCCCAGATTAATCTAGCCTCTACCGCTTTTTGCAGGAATTTTTGTCAAATTACATCTTTTAAAAAAAATATGTACTGAAAGAGTAAACTGCAAGTTCACTAAGCTCTTCGGGAGAAAACGCCGTAAATTTCGGATTAAAATGATACATTAATTATGGTCAAGCCCTTTACTCGCAAAGTCTTACTCATCCGTGTTTTACAAAGGCCATAGAAACACACTCCACATAATAAGTGAAAGTCAAATACTCTGACAACATGAAATAACTGAGACCTAACGCTAACTCAATTTTTAATTCGAGATATTAGTATCTGTAACCAACCAAACAACCTCCTTTGTCTCTTTTTGTCTATGTACGACCTTCATTGTTTCCGCGGAGCAAATAAATTAATCTTCGTCATTGCCACTATTCGTAGCTCTACGCCTATTCCTTCCATAACGATAAAACCGTTTATGGTCACACTTATTAGATTGTTTGACGAAATAGGGAAGAGTCAGGGCTACAACTACAAGAGAATAAAATTCAAAATCCGTAGAACATTTTACTTCCCTTTCAAAAGATTGCAAATGG